CACATAAGTGTACCCACAAATTGCAAAATATATGCCCAAACGATGTATTGAGGAAGATCTTTAGCTAATGCAAATTTTCAGTAAAAGCAGTGATCTGCCCTGGATGAATAACCTGCACTTTATGGTCTAGACAAATTGTAATTATAAATCCATCCTGGCATAGCGGACTCCTGTTCCACCTATCTTTTGGAAACTTTATGTGGTGGTAACTAACTCCTACTCATCATTTTTTCCTGGTGATTCTGGTCAGTACCAATTGATTCTTCTTTCACCTTGTAAAAAGGTAATACCTGTCTGTGCCAAGCAGCAAGGTGCAGAGATCAGGGTTGGTTAGGCAGACACAACCTTCATTACTGGGAAGTTAAATCCCCTATTATTTGCCCTGCTATCACACTGAAAATGGTAATTGCTCATTTTAGCAGTCTTCCATAACCCATCTGCCCTGTAACAGCTATGTTACATTAGCTGGGCTTGGTCTTTTAAAAAAGTTAATAATCTTCTAAGTCTCTCTTCAACAAGACTGACATCAGGACCCGTGTAACGGGGGATTTTAATACCTGGTTAATTTAGTTCCCTAAAATGTGTTAAGTCAGTGCAAGTCTTTTATGCTTTGAATGTTTTGTTGAAAGATTGCTGCAGGAAAGCAGAGAAGGGAATTGAGATTTCCTGAGCTTGTGGCCCGTGGATATCACCCCAAGGCCACCTCTCCTTTTTTTATCTTCAGGCTTTGAAGTACAAAAGCTCCTGCACACAGACAGTGAGGTTTTGAAAGCTGGCACAGCTAAAAGATTTAATGCAGGTGGAAACAACCCAAAGTCTGCTCTTGTGACAAGCTAGACACGAAATCTTGAGATACTCCAAGAAATGATCTATCAGATCATGACACGATTCCCCAGCCATCTGCCCTGGGCATTTACGTGTAGTGTAAATCACTGCATCATCTCAATGCTTACAAAATATTTCCAGGATAGGGAACGACAGTCTGCATTTTGTAAACAGAGAAGTGAAGCAGAGTGAAGATAAATGACTTGCCCAGAGTTTAACAGAGTCTGTATTTTAACTAGATAGACAAAAGAGAGACAAAATAATCTGTGCCAATCTTCTCCTACTACATACACAATCAAATAGAATTTCTCACCCTCCCCTACTCAAAACCAGCCATAAGCTACTTGGGAATTATTGGAACAAACCATGATTTTAATTTCATTCCCTTGGGTAATTTGCAAGTGAAAACATCACTAAATAGGTGGTTTGGGGATTGTTTGGTATGTGCATGATTCTCCTAATGCTTGCATTACAAAACTTCCCAGGGTTCAATGAACATTTTGCTGCTTTTCTTAGACGGCTGGTTAATTCGAGACATTTTACATAATCTGCCCTTTTCAGCAAATGCCAGTGAGTAAAGTTTTCACTTCCTTATTATATCTGCTTCATGTGATTTCTGCTGGGAAGCTATACTAACACGGAATTTATATGATACTGTCCGTGCTGCCTCTCTGTGCTATATCCAATATTTGGCACCCTCCATCTTGCTGCCTGCGTGATGGCAGCATTCTCAAAAGCTTGCAAAGGTGCAAAAGGAAAGCTTTTAAAATGTATTTGCTTCTGTTAAAGAGAAAAATCAAGCAGTCTAGAATGCTTTTCAGCCGCAAAGTCAGGCACTAAGCTTTTTATCAGTTAAAGACTTCATGAAAAAAATGCTCAAAAAGCATCTTGTTGCTGTTTTAAATCTAAGCTTTAAGGATGTTTTCTTATTTATAGCTAGGTTCTACTCTATAACAAATGTTAACCAATCAATAGAAAGCACCCTTTCTTCTGGTTGGAGAAGGTGATTTAGTAGGCTTTCTTAGTCCTCCACCTGTTCAATTCCCTGAAATACATGAAAATATGATCCTTCACAGTATGTATTCTCTGCGACTTTTGTGCTTTTTGCCAGTCTTTTCCTGGGCAGTGAGAATGCTCTCTCTCTCAGACGGCTGCTGTGCCAGTTTAATTACTTGTTCTCTGCTTAATAGCTGGAGCATTCGACAAAGTTGCACCTATTCTTCGAGTATATCCATCTCCCAGGAGGAAAAAGGTAATATTATTCACACTTTTCTACATATTTTTCAAGTCCAGATGTTCTCTGCTAAAGATAAAAAGGTTTATAAATAATAAAGAATTACAAATAAAAATATTTTAAGAATTAAAAAAAAAAAAGAAAGAAAAAATAGATGTGGAACATTCATCTTTTTTCTTAGAAATCTTGCATAGTCGTCGAGGATATTTGCCCTTATGAGCACACTCCCTGATGAATGCAGACAAATGGAATCATGGCAAAATAAAACCAGCCTTATGCAGATATGTGGGACGCACGAGGAAGTCCAAAGCTGTATGAGCGAGTCTTTGACTCTGAAATGAGTCTTTTGACTCAGAGTTAAAAATTTTCATGAAGGCCCTTAATCTGCTAAACAAATTTCCACAGTGTTCCAAGAAGCGTGTCATTCATTTCGCTAGGATTAGGTAGACTGCATGCATTGTATTTGTTCAAAATCCTATTTGTTTCTAAGTCTTTGCCACTGATTTTAAGAAACCTGAGGCAATTAAAATGTTACGCTTATTTCTTCTGTACACAGTAAATAACCATTTATTTAGCAGTATTTCTGCAATCTTCTGCTTTGAATTTATAGCATGTAAATACTTTTGACAAATTAGGGAAATGTGGGAAATTAGGGAAACAATGACAGCTGTCTCTTCTTTTCTTACCACTGTCAGGATGAACTGGCCAAGGGGAAGGGCCTTTCTGGAGCTACCTGGGATAATGGGCAAGTCCTAAAGTATTAAGGTGATGGCCAAATTCATGTGTCCGAGGCACAAGGCTACTAATATCTTACTGTGAGTTAGTATCTGGGTGTTTACGAGGTAGATGAAATAAAAAATAAGTGTGTTGGGTTTTTTTTCCCTGTTGGAGGTAAAAAAACTCCAGAGACGCAACAGAGTTTGGCTGTTTGGATGAGATGAGATCCTGTTTCACGGCTCCTACTCGGGAGCAGGGCTGTGGTAGCATCTTAGTACTTGTTGCTCCAATGCATGCAGCTGAGAAAGGCAATACTGACTTTGTACTTGCTCCTTGCAAACAGAATCACAACCCACACCATGATTGCTACATGGTGTCTCATAACCTTTTTGCAAAAGCAATAAACGGACTCTCCTTGGGACCTTCTCTACCCCAGGAACAGTCTAATTTAAAAAACACTAGCTTAGTAACACTCTCCTAATTAACAATAAACGGGAGATCTGCTGTGAATAACTGCTGATGGCCAGAAAAACAAATAAAAAAGGAAATTTACTCCCTTCTTCAGTCATAGAATCATGGGATTGCTGAGGTTGGAAGGGACCTCTGAAGGTCCTCTGGTCTAACCCTCCCCTGCTCAAGCAGGGCCACCTAGCCCCAGTTGCCCATGACTGTATCCAGATGGCCTCTCAATATCTCCAAGGATGGAAACTTCACAATCTCTCTGGGCTCTCTGTGCCAGTGCTCAGTCACTCTTTTCACTTACAGAGAAAAAAAAGGTGTTTCCTCATGCTCAGAGGGAACCTCCTGTGTTTTACTTTGTGCCTGTTGTCTCTGGTCCTGTCACTGGTCCTGTCACCACTAAAAAGAGCCTGGCTTTGGCCTCTTTGCAACCTCCCTTGTGGTATTTATAGACATTGATGAGGTCCTCCCTGAGCCTTCACTTCTCCAGGCTAAACAGTCCCAATTATCTCAGCCTTTCGTGACAGTAGAGATGCTCCAGTTGCTTAATCATCTTTGTGGCCCATTGTTGGACTCTCTCCAGTAGTATGTCTATACCTTTCTCATACTGAGGAGCCCAGAACCGGACACTACTCCAGATGTGGCCTCATCAGTGCTAAGTAGAGGTGAAGGATCATCTCCCTTGACCTCCTAGCAATATTTGTCTAATGCAGCCCAGAATGCCATTTGCCTTCTTTGTGGCAAGGGCACATTGTTGGCTCATGCTGTCCACCAGGACACCCGTGTCCCTTTCTGCCAAGATGTTTTCCTGCTGGGTGGCCCCCAGCACGTATCGGTGCATGGGGTTATTCTTCCCCAGCTGCAGGACTTTGCACTTCTTGTGGAAATTCATGAAGTTCCTGTCAGCTCATTTCCCCAGGTCACTCTGGATGGCAGCATGACCTTCTGGCGTATCAGACACACCTCCCAGATTTGTGTCATCAGTAAACTTGCTGATGGTACACTGTGCCCACCATCCGGATCACTAATGAAGATGGTAAGCAGGACTGGGCCCAGTATTGACCCCTGGGGTACAACACTAGTTACCAGCCTCCAATTAGACTTCATGCTGCTGATCACCACCCTCTGGGCCTGGACACTCATCCAGTTTTCAAGTCACCTTAATCACTGTAGATAAGGAAAAGTTAGCTTAAAAGAGCATGCAATGGCACAAGTTTGGCTCTGTTGAAAGCAGTAAATAAAGTTCTTCACACCCCCAACCCGCAGCCTTGTTAAGCCAAACAGTAATGGGGATGTCCAAACAGCCTAAGTGACAACACCAACACAATAGCCATGTCAGCACCAGACAGGATTGTTTTTTCTGCTCTTTACTATGATTGCTTCATTTATTTTTTCCCTGCTTCCCATCTGTTCTAATCGTTCATCTCGGGTAGTGAATCAGTGGCATCAAGAATTGAAGAACTCATACTTAAGCCTCAAGGCAGCCACTAACCCTTTTCTTTACTATCACGAGTGGGGAACATAAAAGGCATCCAGTTTCCGCCCTGTGTTCTCAGTACCCAAATCACACTTATTGGAACATGCAGTTATTTCTATGAGGTTTAGGAACACTTCACTTGTACAGTTTAGAGCTATTTGACACAGCCTAGCTTCCCTGAAGCAGCTTTCTTCTTAGACTTGTTTTCTAAAATCAGCCTGATGGGTGTTTTTTTTCCGTTCTCAGGCACAGAGAGTAGCATTCCGATTGTAAGAAGGGGACACTTACTCAGTATTTTGTGTATCAATTGTGTGAAAAAGTTCATGCAGTTCTTCTCCACTCAGAACTCCGTCAGCAAAGTAAGCTTTGAATTCATCAAAGGACAGTTTTCCATCATCTGAAACAACAAAGGAATGGAAAGTGCCTTAGTTTCATTTATGCTTTGCTTGTTCACTTCATGCTACCTAGACCTATCTATTTATTTCTCTTTTCTTCCTCTTTCCTCTTTCTTTCCTCTAATCCCTCCCTCCTACATGAGAGACTGAGGCCTGAGTGCACAATTCAGTAGCAGTAGGGATCTGACCCTGGCTCTCCTCTCTAGCTGAAGGACACTAATCAATACACTGCACCAATTGCAGGATTTTGATTCTCTCTTTCTTCATAAAATATGTCTTTCTCAAAGAGTTCTATGCTTGCTGTGGAATTAACACAATAAATAAAATAAAGTTCAACTGTCACGCAAGAGAAAGACAGCTCCATGTCCTCTTCCACTGGAAAGAATTTCAGCTCATTTTCTTGGTCAGCATAGAAAATAAATTTCTATTTGTCAGCATGTAATTTGTCTGGAGATTATGCCAAAAAATTTGGAATGAGAAAATTTGTTTTGGACACATATCAGAGGTCATTCAAAATCCTTAGATGGATTTCCAGATGGAGTTTGGATTGGCCATGTAACATACAGTGAAGCCCAACTATGAAGAAGTTGACTTTATCTTCTAAGTACCTGTTCTTATTTGGTTGGGACAACACCCGTCATCACCACATGCGTCCTGATCATCATCAATAACATGTTCATGTAGTTAGGAAGTGTCTACTGGACTAATGGGACTCAGAGGGAGGGGCAGTACCATGTAATAACATTTAGAAGAACAGTAATGGGTTATACATTAATTCAAGAGGAGTAAGTCCTTACTGCAATCTCTACTGCATTATTTAGTGGAGTCTGTTTCATCTGTTAATTTAGCTTTAATTTAGCAAGCCTTTGACTACATGAGGCAAAATCCTTGCACTGAGAGGTGCTAAGCAGAGATTCATCTGGTATTTTCAGGATGTTACCACTTAAGACTGAAGCTCTACCCTCCTTTTGTCAGATCAATCTCTGCACAACCATCAATGCTTTCTAATGGGTATTACAATAAATACTAAACCATTTCATTGAAGAAGGGATTGTATTTGTATTTCACTTCATCTGTGCATGTCTGAAAATCCCAGAGAAGGTGCTGGACTGCAGGCTTCCCATCCTTTTCTTTTTTCCTTTTTTTTTTTTTTTTTTGTTTTTTTTGACAATTAACATCAGAAATGGATAAAATGTACGATTTGGACAGCCTGTCCCACCCACAGGGTGGCCATGCCTGCACTTAGGCTATTGTTTGGTTTTGAAGGTAGGACTCTGAGATGTGAGCAGCATTAAACTCTGCTACCTCTGGCATCTAATCATCTCACAACAACTATTTAAACAACATATGACAGCCAGCACAATCGTTTGCTGAAATGAACTAGAGGCTGGATGGGGCTTTGAATGGTGGTGTACAGCCTGTGATGCAAGAAACCAACCAATGCTTGCTAGCTGGATGTTAAAAAAATGAAGGAAAGAAGTTTGTAAATGGAAAGCTGACCCCACAAACTCCACGAGATTTCATCAGGGATCCCTCTAAACAGCTGACATTTGCTTCTGTCCTGGTGAATAAATGTCCTCTTTTCTTTGCTGCCCAGGCATGACTTCAGAAGAAGTGCATGGGTCAGGATAAGGCAAATCCGTAATTCCATTAAAACAGTTATAGGATTTTATTCCTCATTGACTAGTGTATCTGAGTGAGTTTTAAATGCAAGATCAATAATCAGCAAACAAAAGCCAAAGAAAATAAAACACCTTTTGCTTTTACTTAGAAGCTGTAATGTTTAAAGAGTAGTTAAGTAATGATTTATCTATACTGATTGGCCCTCTGCATGAAGTATAGAGAATATTTCAGAGCCCTACTCTTCATAACTCTGTTTTGGGTAGCACTAAATTTAAGTTCATATGACTCTTTCTCTTCCTTCAGAAACATGTTGAATCACCCACAGGGCACTAAACAACCATAGAGCATAAGACTGTGATGCCCTGAGCACCAGACAAACCTACAATATATGTGACCTAATTTTGCAGTGATGAAGAAACTATTATAAAGGCATTATCAGAATCCTGTAACTACATGTCGTACTACAGCATAGAGATTTGAACAGGAGAGCTGAGGAGTTTCCTCAGACTTTTACTTGTTCTTATTTCATAATTTCTTTGACATGAATATATGGCTTGAAATATGTAATCTTCAAGAGGTTTCAAAATTGGACAAATTGAATGTCTGCTTTACCAGAAACATTTGAAATGTTTCAAAGACAGATTGTAGCTGGAGATAATCATCGTTATGATAAAAATAAAATGTCAGGATCTACAAGAGCTAAACACCAAGATGGCACAATACTGTGTTGAAGGTAAGCAATTTTCTTTGACAGAACTGCCATGATTACCTAATTGAGAATCTAAAAACATCTGCCATTTGGCACTGGTTAGAGAGAAGGAATATCAAATACTGAGTGTGTTGAAATGAGCTTCTTTTCACAGCATTGCTTCCTTTGGCTCATACAGATACAATTGATTGTTTAATCAAACTGCCTCTGCAGCTTTAGCCTTTGCTGGGAAGGGTGATTTGCATGCAAGTTATACACATACTCAAGAAACTTGTGATTTTTGGCAACTTTTCTGAGATAAACATATTACGAGTTTACTTACAGAACAATCTGGGTATGACAAAACCAGAAATATCTGTCTGTTTATCACTGCTCTTCAGGATCATTGGCTTTACATCAATGCAGAAAATCAATGATCTGTCAAGAGCCAGATTGGGCACTTTAGCTGTTTTCTTTAAATTTTACCATCCGAGAGCAAATATTGCCTTTTGCTCCATTGCTCTTTATACCCCAGAACATTTTGAATGTTATTGACATTGAGTGACACATCACTGAGCTTGTTGCTGGCAAAACCCAAGGAGATTTGGACTATTCAGTTACTTACAGACTTCATACAGTTGCGTTTACTGAAAAAAAAAGCTCTGTTTCTCCAGTGTATTTCTCTGATCTTGTATGAGCATAACTGCTTTGCTAGTGCAGCTGGGGACTCAGCTGCTGGTGGCCCAGGCCACCCCTCCACTTCCTCAGTGCTCAGATGAAGCTCAGACCCAATGCCTGGCAAGCTCTCCTTGTGCTGTTGAATTGAAGACACCTTTGCCTAGCCAGTTGATTTTTTTTTTTTTAATAAGTGTCAAGAATGGCTTAAATTTTGAAGGCTGCATTACATATCCTCAGCACTGCCCTCGGAGTGCCCAGATGAACACTTGTCTGGTTTAAGTGCTTTAGAGCAGCTGAGCAGAAACCTTTATTACAGATGCTTCAATCCTTGTCGCTGGCAAAGCAACAGGGGATGGGTGATTTTCACGAAAGACAAACTTTTCTGAAGCCACGCATCCCTCAGACAAATCAATCTGCAGCAGCATTTGCCTTGGCAATGTTATCTCCAAGAAGCTGTTTTCACCGAATCACAGAATTGTCAGAGTTGGAAGAGACCTTCTAGAGATCATCCAGTCCAACTCCCCTGCCAAAGCAGGGTTGCCCAGAGCTCATCACTCAGGAATCCATCCAGGTGGGTCTTGAAGATCTCCAGAGAAGGGGACTCCACACCATCCCTGTGCACCCTCTGGTGCTCTGGCACCCTCACCCCAAAGAAGTTCTTCCTCAGATTGGAGTGGAACTTCCCAAGTTCCAGCTTGTGCCCATTGCCCCTCGTCCTGTCACTGGGAACCACTGAGAGGAGTCCACAAGCCTTGCTTGCTTTTGTGTATCTTCTTTGATGTCTCTCAGAAGCAGGGTTTCTTCAAAAACAGGCAGAGTTGCCCATCCTCCTTGGAGCCAAAACACTCCTGACTGGCAGACAAAAAACCCATACAAACTAGAGCCACTGAGAAGTTGCCAGAAGTCTGAGGACTGCTGTAGTGAGGCAGCTATCATCCTGCCAGAGCTCACCTGGAGACACAGGAGCAGATGCAGGAGGTAGAAGGCTCACCTGCAAAGTCAGTGTTTGTCCTGCGATGGCACCGTCAATAAATGATGAATCTATTTTTGATCTCTGTGAGTAAGCGTTGCAAGATTTCCTCTTGATCATCACAGAGGTGCAGCTTTGTGGCTTTTTGGTTATTCTTGTGGAAAACCTGCCAGGTGACTCAAATGTGTGTGCTCTTCCACTGACACCAGTGGGACCAATAGGATGCTGCTGCTGCTGCACTTGCCTTATTTTAATGGGGTGCCTCGCGTCCTTCTTAGCGTACCATAAGGTAAGAGAAATACCTCATGCAGACAAGCACATATAGGTGTTACAGTCACACGTATCTGGGGCAACCACTGTTGCCTGCGAGGTGAAGGACGTAAAAAATTTTCTTGATGAGGGAAGACTGCATTTTGCAGTTCCAGTTTCCCATATTTTCCCATATTTTCCCATATTTTCCCATATTTTCCCATATTTCTTTAGTCCCTCCCTTGCAGGCTACGGACAAGGTTTAAACTTCTTGAGAGGGATTTAATGATTTTGATTTTGTTTCATAGAGCAAAAGGAATGAAATAAATGAAGAACTTTGCTTTGAGCCGGAATTTTTCCAAATTAGTTCTGTGTGAAATCCACATGCCTTCCTTTGAACGCACGCAGTTTTGTAAAGTAAACCTGACCAAAATTTCATTTTGACATGCAAACCTGAAACTTTATTTCCAAAAAGGTCAATGTGAAACATCACACCTTTATGAAATTGCATTTTTTTTCCCCTCAGGGTTTTCTGTTGCTTTTGTCAATATTACGAACAATATATTCCTTCAAAATGTGACATTCCTTCCCTATGCCTTGTTCTCCCTCTAAGACAATCACCTGACCTTTTGAGTTACGGAAGGAGTGTCGATCTGCTCCATAGAGAGTGAAGCTCCTCAGCCATGAAATATGAACCATAGATAGAGCTGATGAAGTTGATCATAGAATCATAGAATCATAGAATCGTCTAGGTTGGAAGAGACCCTTGGGATCATCGAGTCCAACCATCTCCCCTACTCTACAAAGTCCTCCCCTACACCATGTCCCTCAGCACTGCATCTAAACGGCCCTTAAACACAGCCAGGGATGGTGACTCCACCACCTCCCTGGGCAGCCTGTTCCAATGCCCGACCACTCTTTTGGTGAAAAATTCCTTCCTAATGTTCAGTCTAAACCTACCCTGTTGGAGCTTGAAGCCGTTCCCTCTCGTTCTATTGTTCATTACCTGTGAGAAGAGACCAGCACCAGCCTCTCTACAGTGTCCTTTCAAGTAGCTGTAGAGAGTGATGAGGTCTCCCCTCAGCCTCCTCTTCCTCATACTAAACAGCCCCAACTCCCTCAGCCGCTCCTCATACGATTTGTTTTCCAGCCCCCTCACCAGCTCCGTTGCCCTCCTCTGCACTCGCTCCAGCACCTCCAGATCTCTCTTGGATTGAGGTGCCCAAAACTGGACACAATACTCAATACTGATCCTCTTGTGGAAGCTGTGCACAGCTGGTATCTCCAGAAATGGGAGGGTAACAGAGTAATATATGTTCCTGGGCTGGCAGAGAAAGAAGCTACCACCCCAGAAGAAACAACATTTATATGGCTACTTTCGAATAGGGGAATTAATAAATTTCCCAATTAAACCCACCTGTCACAAAACATTGTAGCATTCTTGAGTAACAGCAATTCAGCAGGATTTCTTGGCTCTTTTCATCCCCTATTTTATGTTGTCTTTGCAAGAATAGTTGTCTTTCCTTGGTTTTGAAGGCTAACCTGAAGTCCCACAGTCCCTAAATTCATACTAAGAACACTATCTCCTATAATACTCCTATTTATCAGCTTAATCCACTTTCTTGGATGTACTTTTTTCTTGCTATCAAGCAAGTATCTAGTCAGGTTTCTGATGATAAATTTTTGGGGGGTATTTTAATCTCACAGAGAGAATGAATATGGCAGCTCTGAGAGAGTCCCACCAAAAGTGTACGGGAGAACTTAACAGGGGGGTGTCACAGACAGTAACATAACATTAGTCACTGGAAACCAGTATTTTTGGTTTACAGCAGGATGGCACTGAAAGTATAAGTATCCTAGTCATAAACAAAAGCTAATAATCAGTGCTGGCAACAGTGTAAACACGTCAGGTTAGTGTTCACATATCACATAAACTTTCTGAGAAGGTACTTGACGTCCAGGCTGGATGGGGCTTTGAGCAACCTGGTCTGGTGGGAGGTGTCCCTGCCCATGGCAGGGGGATTGGAACTGTATGATCTTTAAGGTCCCTTCCAACTCTAACCATTCTATCATTCTATGATTCCCAACCTTAAAACAAATCTCCTCCCTATGAATGTGGCCTGAGCCTCTGCAGTGCCATATTAGCAAAGGGGAAGTCCCATGGGCAACCACTGATTGAGCAAACACAATTAAGCATGTAAGAGATGAAGCCATTTCAAGTTTACGCACTTAAATTAATAGAACTAATAGAACTTTGCCACTTTTCTCCCAATAACATGTCGTAAGGCATCCGTATATAGGTATGAATGCCAGTCACCAAAGTCTCTGAGGCTGATGTGCTTTTGGACTGTTCTGGAACAAGCAAGTTTGTCACTGATCGTGTGAGCTGTTTCCCCCATTTCAATAGCAACATCTAAGCAATAAGCTGTGGGGTAGCCCCAGCAAGGACTGGAAGTCTTCCTGACCCAGAGCGGTGCTGTGGATCCATGAGAGCTGGGAGAGGGCATGATTTCAAAGTCCAGGGCAGGGACATGAAGCTGTAGGGGCTCTTTTTGACTCCAGGAGGGTGATGACCGCTGCTCCGCACCATACGCTCTGACTCGCAGCAGTTTTCAGGGTAGACAGATAAACATCTATTCCAAACACCACGAGGAGTTCTCGGGGGGGAACACCAGCAGAGTTTGGCTGTGGTTGGCATCTAGCTAAGCTGGAAAGGCACTGCTGAACGGGAAGGTCCTTCTCCTCCCCATCCCAGCCCTCATGTTGGCATTCAACTGGCACCACCACTGCCCTTGCAAGCTACTGGCAAGCTGCCTGAGGGAGATAACAAAAGCACTACCAAAAAAGCACGTGCAGTGATGGATTTTGTGGCTCCAGAGTTCTCTGAGGGAGCTTGCCATGGTTTTGTGGGAAGTGCCAGTTGCCACCTGCAGGAATACGCAGGTGGGGGTGGGCTGTGGGGTGGGATTGCCCTCTCAGCGACAGTAAATGGCTCTTCAACAGGCTCGGATCAAACTGTATGGTAGCCCCTTACTGCCCAGCAGGTCTTCCTTGAAGAGCTATTGAATTCTCTCTGATTTTGTACATGGTATCCAATTGCCTTCAGATACCCGTGAGTACACTTTATTGAATCTGCATAATATGTGTTTTCTGAGGATTGACAGGGAATTGCTTGTCAGGGTTAAACCTGCCTGAGCTGTGGGTTTGACACTGTTCGAAGCCTTCAGGAAAAGACCAAAGTCTGTGTGTCTGCAAGAAGTCACATCTCCCTTCTTCCCATACTTCGGCATCATAGTCCTAAATAATTGCAAGCCTGTGTTTCCCTCCCATCCTGCAAGATCTAAATCTGGTTATCCAAGTATAAATACTATTATGGTAACTGCAGAGCTACAGAAGCTCTTCATAGCCTCAAACATAGTGAACCTCATGCTACGTGACTCAGGGACTTGGCAGTGGCTTCATTTCTCTGCTGGGGTATGTGGCACAAAAATGACAACGTAACTTGTCCAAAATGGTGCAGCAATTATGAGATGGGAAAAGGAGTTAAAGCGAGGTTCAAGACCCTGACTATGTATATACCAGCAAAAGAATCCAGTGGTTACCCTTGTAGTCCTTACACCAAGGCTCTTCCCCTGCTGAGGCCAAACTGGAAGCATCTGTGAAGCCTTATAGTACTATGCTCCAACTTACTGAACATATTTTAGGGAAAAACTACATGTGGAAGGAAAATCAATCAGTAGCACAAGGGAAAAAATTTCAATTAAGAACATAATAAAAACCTCATAATTTTTGTGTTATAAATAAGTGAGTCGAATGCAAGGCTTTATCTGCCTACTGACATGCCAAACAAATACCTAACTGCCAAACGTAGGAACCAAGTCTAATTGCTGGATATAGCCCATGGTGTTTTTAAAAAGTAGTAAGATGGAGCTACTAAGAAGTATTTCAAACCTACTTATGAACACGGTGTCACTAAGAAAACACCCACGTGCACCTGAAGTGCAAACCAAACACACATGCCAAAGTGTGAAAGCACAAGATCTGCCCTTAAAGAACCTGTAGGGAGGATCAGTGCCCAACAAAACACATTGCATTGAACCTGTAGAAAGCCTAAAATGACATGATGGATGGCTTGTTTTCTTGTTAGGATGTTTAAAGCATGACTTAAAATGCTGAATCAGTGATGGATTTTTTTTTTTTTTTGAAGGGAGAGGGGAAGACACATGACGGGTCTTACCATTCTTGTCTGCTCTTCTTAATATCTAAACAAAAAGAGAGAGAGAGAACAGAATCACTTCTTTCTGCATGGATTAAGAGCACACAACGCTGTACTTAGTAGGCATTTATGGTTTGAGCTCTACGTCATATTTTCACAAGGCTGCATAAAATTGAAAAGCTCTTAGTGTGTCTCCATCCTTCCCTCAGAGTGTTGCTGTCTTTAACTCCTCCTGTGCTGTCTGCATTGAAAACCAAGACCCTAATAAGAACCAGCTTGATTTTCTAGTTTGTGCATGGCTTATAAGGACAACGTTTGGGCACAAAACCTGATACCATATGGCTATGGTGATAGTGGATTCGGGGTCGAGAGGAGCGGCATAAAGCAGCAGAGCGAGGGTGATAGCTGGGAGGATGCGCTGAGCAACTGAGGTGGTGAGAAAGACTCCGGGCTGGTGTGGGTGGAGGAAGCAAAGGGATAAGTCAGGAGAAGGGCCGGGTGGTGTGAAGGGATCAGGCTGCATGTGGGAGGCGGTGAGATCAGATGTGTGGGAGCGAATGTGAGGATTGCTCTGATAGAGAGTTGAAACCAGATACAGAAGAAAGGGGAGAGGGAAAGCATGGAGGTTTACGTGCTGGGAAGGCAAGGTCCTTCCCTGCAGTCCTTCTGCCATGCCTGTGTGTGACCCCAGCTTATCCTCACGGGGTGCAGACCTGCCCTTTCTCCCCACTGTTAATGGCACCGGCTGCAGAAGCTATTTAAATACCAAGGTGAGAGTCTGTAGTTCCTTGTGCAAAGTCTGAGAAGAGGATCCAGAGGGGTGCATCCTGCTGGGAGAGGTGGCAGAGCCTCCCAGGAACCCGCCATCAGCGGGGGGGGACACAGCACCAATCCATTTGGGGCTGTATGCAGGTGCAGTGACCCTGCCTTACTGCTGGTGACATGCCAGCATGCCCACATAGAATCACAGAATCATAGAATCACTGAGGTTGGAAGAGACCCTTGGGATCATCGAGTCCAACCATCTACACTACTCTACAAAGTCCTCCCCTACACCATATCCCTCAGTACCCCATCTAAACGTCCCTTAAACACATCCAGGGACGGTGACTCAACCACCTCCCTGGGCAACATGTCCCTGCTGGAGTCCCACCACAGTAGTCCACGCTTTGAAGAAGGCATCAAGGATAGGGGATGGAAGCGAAGGGGGGGATGTCCTCCAGTTTCTTTGCTCTCTGCTCTCTATATGAGGTGGTTTTGCTACAGCATGGGTCACCATATGACACCTCAGCTACATGCAACTCTGCCATCCTTTGTCACCCTGCTTAATTTCCAGACGCAGTCCCCATGGCTACTTCAGCCTGAACTGCAATGGGGAGTCACCTGGGCAATGGTATAGTCAGTTTAGGCAAGAGAAGAAAGCAGATCTTCCCAATATAGTTTCTATTGCTGCTGTGAATATCAGAAAAGAGTTCCAAAATGGGCACATATATTTTTGAGAGCTGACAGCAATGGAAACGTTCTCCAGTTTGATAAGCAGCTAGTAGTATTTAAACAGCTTGTCCAGCACCCACCACAACTGCCCTGCTCCTAGAGGTGAAACCAAATAAGAAATGCAAGGATCCAGGTGCCGGGCTCTGTCAGAGCATCTTCGTGACTGTATTCTGCAAGGTGGAATTGGCAGGGAACTAACAGAGTTGTGACCCACATCCAGGACTTCACCGATGGTCTCTAAGCTGAGCTTTGCATTGGACCAGATTTACAGCACATAAAGTATGAAAAAAACTTAGTGAGTCGACAACTTCCCTCCCCATATATCCAAACAAATCATACATTGCAACTCAATTTTCAGTAAGTGGATTGGACCATTTAGGGGTCTTAAATTTTTACTCTTAAACTGGAAGTTTTCTCCTAATGAGAAATAAGGACTAAATGCAGACCAAAGGAAAGATCATTAAAAGCGTTACTAGAATAAAATTAAAGCTCTTTGTACAATGCTTAACAGGTAAGATACAGCTCCAGATTCCTGGTGAGTTTTTGGCTGGATTTTGGGGGGGGTTGTTGATCTTTCTCCCATCTCCTTGGCAATCAGCCTTGTCGCCTTTTCGTGTGACCTGGAGGAGAAGTCAGCCTGATTCCCAAGGGACCCACCTCCACGCTGCTGGTTTCAGCTGGAAGGGGAGAGATTTGTAAAATCTGGGGAGGGTGGAGAAAACGTGATGGATGCTCTGAGATCTAATGGCTTCCTTCTGTCCAGTTACACCTGATAAAAGGGAACAGCGGGTGCAGACAGGGGCTTTGACACAAGGCCAGGGAGGAGGTCGCATTGGAAACCAGGTTCTGCTTTCATCAGGTCTCTCCCCATACCCCAGTGGGACCAGGACCTCAGTGCCTGCCCTTTCTGGGGCCAGCCCCTCCTTTGGATCAGGCAGAAACTAGGTTTAAATGTGAGGTTTTTCCTCCAGATGTAAGAGCAGAAGGACGGCAGCAGCCCCCCTCTCTCCTCCTCACCAGTTTTGTGAAAGGCATCTGCTTCTCTATAAATATGAACCTGACACTGGTTTAAGAAATCGCTGAAAATTAAACAAATAACTTTCGTTTTAATTCTTTTTTTTTTTTTTAACTTTGGGTGAAATCAAAAACTTTCAAATTCTGACCATGTGCAGTTTCCTAACACAGGGTGTTGTGTTAAATTGTTAAATTGGCTGCATTTAGTGTTTTTTAACTCTTTCTTGGCAACTTAGGTATCTCTTCTTTGTGATGTATGCCTGTAATTCTCCTGTTTCTCTTACAAGAGATAGTTATAAGACAAAAATAAAAACTGATTTGCACTATACACATGAATGGAAAGAATAAAAGTCAATAAAGGGTCTAACTTAAATGATTTCTCATAGAGGCTAGAAAAATCAGGAGATGAGCAGATGGGGGTTGTCTGGAGGAATTTGAGGAAAAGGCTGGGGAGGTTAACATGGGCACATTGCAGAAAACATCAAGATAAAGGGTCCTTTAACACAGAATATGTCATTTGCAGCTGATATCGTGGACTAACACCAGTATAAAAGTTGATCTGAAGCAGATCAGGGGTGGCAGCAGAGTTGGTCTGAAGATTTGTGGGTCTTACCAGGGACAGGGGATACTTCAGGAATCTTTGGGTGGGAGTTTGCCTTTTAGCAGGACTTGCCTTGGACCAAAGAAACACTCTGTCCGGGGCAAATTTAGAGGAAAAAGCTTTACAGCTGCATCTTGTTAGATGCTGAGCCCTTGGTGATGGTCTAGCACAGCTCCCCTGAGGGGCTGGATGGCCAAGTGCACCTCGTTGGGTCCCCCTCACCCCCGAAAAGGGCTGAGGGGCTCAGGGCTGCTCTGCACAACAGCCCCGGGCACCTCCAATCCATCAGCATCTAACGGGATGGGAGGGAGACTGCACAGTTTGGGAAAAAAAAAAAAAAGCCAAACTTTTGCAGGGTGAGAAACTCTTCAGTGAAAAGCCCAGAAAAAAAAAATTAAAAATAATGAAATAACAAAAATGCAAGCAATGCATTTTGAAAAGTGACAGCGTTTTTACCCAGCTCCTCTCCAAACCACCCCCAACTGCTCCTCACACACACGCACCATCGGGTGCAAGCTCCTTCCCCTCATTAACATCTGAAATGGTGAAAACAGCTTGAAGAAAAGGGCAGGAGAAGGGGAGGAGGAAGGAGAAGGGGAAAGTGGAAGGGTAAGAGAAAGGAGAAGAGGAAAGGGGAAGGGGACAGGGAAGGGGAAAAGGAAAGGAAAAGGGAAAGGGAAAGGGAAAGGGAAAGGGAAAGGGGAAAAGGAAGGGAAAGGGAAAGGGAAAGGGAAAGGGAAAGGGAAAGGGAAAGGGAAAGGGAAAGGGAAAGGGAAAGGGAAAGGGAAAGGGAAAGGGAAAGGGAAAGGGAAAGGGAAAGGGAAAGGGAAAGGGAAAGGGAAAGGGAAAGGGAAAGGGAAAGGGAAAGGG